TTTGTTTCTTTACACGTCCATTAAAGTCAGAGGTTAAGTGCTGGATGGGCAGGAGCATTCCTGTCTCAGATGGATGAGGTGGTGACAGAGAGCCCTTGCTGCTACATATTTCATGTGGACAAGCAGAGGACCACCTGTTTAGCACAAGTTCTGGAACAACAGGAGCAAGCCTGTTCACCTCCCCGTGGCAGGTAGTGGAGAGTGATAGGTCTTCCTCCTCCTCAGCTGCTCCCATGGGGGGAGGGGGTCATTGACCGGCAATTTTTAGTATGCAGAAGTGAATGAAATTGGCTTGATGAACGTTTAATGAAAATTATGAGTTACATATAATCAAAATAAGCTATGTGGTGTGATCAAAAATAGGAATGTGCATCCTAAGCAATTTTGATATTTGATAGTCCATAAAAGTTGTATGCAAAAGTGTATTTGGTTGCAGGGAATGGAAAAAAAGGCTGTTATGTGTCATAATACATAAATATGACAAACTGGTGCACTCGTGCTAGTGAGCTAATGGATGATGGCAGCTCATGGATGATTACTCAGAAATTCTTTGCTCGCTGTGCTGGAGTAACAGAGGCTGCCTTCAGTGTAGCAATGAGCTAACACCAGAGCTAACTGGTGCAGTGTAGATGGTGATGGCTCAGTTATTCAATCGATTCGTCCACCTTTATTTAAACTTGGTGACCCTCATTAACAATGTAGCCAAGTATTATACAAAAGCTAAAAATTGAAGAGTAAATATCTTTCTGTACTAATGTGTAACAAAGGGAAATAAAGCAAAAGGATAAAATAAAAAAGGTTAAAAAAAATCCAATATTAAGTATTTTAAAACAGAAATGGTTTTCAACAGAAGCAAGTTTTTAAGTAGATATAAATAAAAAAATCTATTAAAAAACCCAGTAAGATAACTTTTAAATAATGATTGGTTGATTTGATTAATAACAAGCTTTGAAACATGCTTACGGTAAAGCCTATGTCTCATAGAAAAGTGTAATATAGTTAGTGAAACTGTTGCACTTAACACTTAATATTATTCATATTTAATAACATCTCTGTGATTTTAATTGCAATAAATGCCTGAATAGTGATTTCAGTATTCAAATACTGGCACCTGGAATTGTTAAACATCTACTGAATATATTACAATGAATGCGTTTATGTGCAAATAAGAATCCAAGAACTGCAGACAATCAGATTTTGTCAGTAATCCGATCAACACGTTTGTATGTGCTTGAGTAATCAGATAATGGGGAAACTCTGCGTCTACATGTCAGGCAGTAATCAGTTTTCTGCTTTACATCCAGCCAATAAACTCACAGAAGAAGACGTGACATAAATGTAATGTAAAACTCAAACTTCATACAGTGGCATTAAAAAAATCCCCGCACTTTACCTGAAAATATGAACATACATCATCTAGAAAATGAAGAATATTTAAATCCTTTATTTCGTCAAGCATGTTGTCGGTTTCAGAGTCACTTCCAAAGTGTTTTGCTGCATCTCGCGGCGGCGCTGCTTGCTTATTTCTGGTGCCGCAGTCTGTTTTCGCACATGCGCAGACTGAGAAATCCGAAAGAAATCAGAGTAAGAGTTCACATGCACTGAGAAATCTGATTACTGAGCTAAAATCCAGCTCTCTTTATCAGATTTCCCGATAGGATATCTAGACCTTACTCCGATTTAAGAAATTGGAGTATGCTGTTTACATGACCATGTGAATAATCAGATAACTGCAGAAATCCGATTATGATCGGATTATTGGGTGCATGTAAACGCACTCGATGACAGAAAATTGTGCTCAGTGAGAAGAACGATGGTGAAAAGTAGAAAAGACTGTAACATGCTAGGCAGAAATTGTGACTCATGAACATGCTGGATGTAATAGCTGTTGTGGTTCAGGCAAATAGGGCTGACCGGCCGGCTTGATCCACCCAACCACAGCTACCTTTTTACACAAAGCGTTTTACACAAAGACAGCCGTATTGAAGAGCCGGCCTCATGACTCGCAGCCTTGTTGTTAAAGGGGTTGGGTGGGTAATGGTAGTGGTAATAGGAGTGAATGCTTCCACAGTGACATTCTCATGACCTGCTTTCTTCCCGTCTGCCTTTATAATTAATGAAGCCCCATTTGGAGAAGATTACGTAGCCCAGGGTTGGTCTTCTCCCGACTGTGGGTTAACTATAGCAGAAGTGCTGAGACAAGTTAAAGAGGTTTCGCATGAATTGTTAATGTGAAGCTGTGTTAAGCTTGCACTGCCGCTCAAAGAAACTTTGGAATCACTTTGTTAAATACGTAATTAATGTAGCAATATCTTTTACAGTGTAGATTGAAAATGATTAAATATGTAAAATATAACATTTCAAGCCTGTTGGACACATCAAGTTATTAAATGATAAATAATATACAAAAATCATCTATTTAAAGTCATTTTTAATCAAGTTTTAGGCCTTTTTGTCAAGGTGTTGTTAGTAAATTTATTGTACTGTCATTCTGGATATACATTTTATTTTAAGTTCATTCTTGATATTAATTTTATTTCAACATAGTTTTAAGTATCACTTATAAAAGGTTTTGGAATGTTAAAAATTGGCTCATTAATAGAACTAATTAGGTCATAAACACCTTAAAAATAGTAATAAGCAGATATAACAGTGAGCTGTGAATATGAATATGTGATGAAGCTGAGAGGTTTAATTCTGGCTGATGGAGAAGGCAGTAAGCTGAATAGGGCTCACTATTTGGCAAGCAACAGGTCACCGTTTCCCTTTTTATTTGTGTTATAACAGCTTATTAATGACTTTTTAAGACTTAATTAGTAACTGTTAATGAACTAATTCTAAACCATTCATAAACCTTTAAAAGGAAGTCTTGTTGTAAAGTGGGACCAAATTGTATTCAAGCTTTATTCTAGATATGAACAATACAGAAGTTCAGTGTCATTCTGGATATTTTGGTTCTTAATTTTGTTTATTCTCGTTGCTCTACATCTTTTGCAGTCATTATGGAATCATCTCCAGCTCTTTTTATCATTCTGAGCAAATCAGCTTCCTACTAATTATATGAAACGTGGAGCTATAAAACACTAGAAGCTCATTTGAATCGTTGTATACACATAGCTGCAGCTGTATTGGTTTGATTTTATGAAAAAACATTGGTTCCAAGCATTTTAATGGTAGTATGTGTGCCATTGTGTATCTCTGTGTTTGTACTGATGTGTGTGTCTGTGTGTGAAGTGCTGGCAGGACAGAGTGTATGTGACCCAGAGTGTGGAGAACTGACTTATTATGAAGTGACTTCAGTCATTTGAGCGCGGACATGAGCACAGTTCTGTCCAAAATTGACCTGGACTGACCCATCACCACCCAAAGTACAGAACCTCATGTTTTTAATGGTAGTGCTACTTAAATGATTGTGTACTGACAATAACAGTCACTAGTAGATCACAGATAAATAACAAATGCTACAGATATATTCATCAGGCAGTGCTTACCAACAGCATCTCAGATGTATGGGACAGATTGAACATTCAAACAAATGAAACATAAATGTCCTTTTGGCTGTTCTCTCCTGAATCTATTTGCTGTTTTATTTACCTCACGTCTGTTTTCTCATGAGCTTAGGCTTCCTAGATTTCTGTGCTGAATTCTGTCAGTAGCATGAGTGTATGGGTCCGGGGGTTTTAAGGTAACTGAAGTACAGAGAGATTATACACCGATCATAACATTATGACCACCTCCTTATTTCTACGCTCATTGTCCATTTTATCAGCTCCACTTACTGTATCTGAGAGGATCAGACACAGCAGTGCTGCTGAAGTTTTTAAACACTGTGTCCACTCACTGTCCACTCTATTAGACACTCCTACCTTGTCAGTCCACCTTGTAGATGTAAAGTCAGAGACGATCGCTCATCTGCTGCTGCACAGTTTGTGTTGGTCATCCTCGAGTCCTTCATCAGTGGTCACAGGATGCTGCCCACAGGACGCTGTTGGCTTGATATTTTTAGTTGGTGGACTATTCTCAGTCCGGCAGTGACGCTGAGGTGTTTAAAAACTCCCACAGCACTGCTGTGTCTGATCCACTCGTACCAGCACAACACACACTAACACACCACCACCACATCAGTGTTACTGCAGTGCTGAGAATGATCCACCACGCAAATAGTACCTGCTCTGTGAGGGTCCATGGAGGTCCTGACCACTGAAGAACAGGGTAAAAGGGGGCTAACAAAGTATGCAGAGAAACAGATGGACTACAGTCTGTAATTGTAGAACTGCAAAGTGCACCTATATAGTAAGTGGAGCTGATAAAATGGACAGTGAGCGTTAAAAGTAAGAGGTGGGCTGTGAGAACCCAAAAGTGAAAATTGAACCCGACAAAACATTTTTTTTTAGCTTTTTTTTTGCATTTTTTGTGATACTGTGTTGAAATCATCAGTATCACAGTTTGCACTGCATAGGTGCTCAAATCTGGGCCTGGAGATCTACCACCTGGTTCTAATATTGAAATGCTCCTGAAGGCCTTCATTACGTGGATGTGTTAGTTAGGGCTGGACCTAAACTCCGCAGGTAGATCTCCAGGACCAGGATTGGCCACCCCAATTGTACGGTATACAGTGTGTGAGAGTGGTGGTCACTTTGTATATGTAGCTCTTGGTGTTGTAGGAAATTGGGGCTGTATAAGCCAGTGGTCTCTAGCGCTCTTGTCCTGTAGAGGCTAGCTCCAGCCACAGTTTGCCACACCTGCTCCAACTAATCGACCTCGTCCCAAGTCCTGATTGGGTGGATCAGATGTATTACAGTATAGAAAGGGGAGGGGCAGCTTACTGGATACAGGTTGGAGCTAAACTCCGCAGAAAGGTAGCTCTCCAGGGCCAAGGTTGGAGACCACTGGTATAAGTATATGCTTGGCTGATGTTAACATAAAACTTGCAGACTTCTTTTTCTGCTTACTGTAATTTTCTCCTCACCTTTCTTCTCTCTCTCCTCTCTCTGTCTCAGTGTGATGCCCAGGCCCAGCGATGCCTTACGTGGATCGGCAGAACCGGATCTGTGGCTTCCTGGACATCGAGGAGAATGAGAACAGCGGCAAGTTCCTGCGCCGCTACTTTATCCTGGACACACTGGAGGGCAGTCTCGTCTGGTACATGGACAACCCTCAGGTAGCTCACCCTCGAGGGCAAACAGCTCAACAATCTCACCCTACCTGCCTCGGCAAGCGCTAAGGGCTAAGGGCTTTGGCTCTGCTGTCAAGTTGACTTAGAGTCAAAACATCACTCGTTTCATACTTCACAAGCTTCTTTCAGAGCTAAGAGACTAAGCTAAACTAAGAGCAACTTACTTGAAACCTCTGTGAAACTTAGTTTCACTTGAGTTGCGTAATGCAAAGCCTGTCGCAACTCGATTGAAACTGAAAGTGTCTCGACGTGGTCAAATAAGCCAGTCAAAATGCAGATAACGCATTGTGATCATGTTGCACGAAAGAAACTTGCATGCAGCTTGCTTGAAACTTCTATGAAACTAAGTTTTCTGTGAATTGCATAATGCAAAGCTTCTCACAACTTGCTTGAAACCGAAATCGTCTCAACTTTGTCAGATAAGCCAGTCAACATGCAGATAATGCATCATGTGATTATGTTGCATGATAGACTTTCAACCACTTGATATCACTGGATGAGAAATGCGAGGTGATTGTTTATTGGACGATTGAAAATCGACTTTATACAAGATAGTACTAGGGTGGGCGATATGGCAAAAGTATTCAGAAAACTTTAAGACATTTTCACAATACACAGTATGCATCCAGACCTGGAGTTTTCGTAAGTTTTAGTAAGTTGCTACAGACATGATAGAACCTGTAGTGCAACATATAAAAATACTATAATAATAATAATAGTAATAATAATAATAGTAATAATAATAAAAATAAACCTACAGTGATTTTTATTCAATGTTTTCCAAACTGAACTGTATTAAATCCAATTTAGCATCCAGTTCAGCCTAATTATGCTCACTATACAATGAAAAAGTCAGTTAGTGTTCTTTAAGCACTGACGATATTCGCAAAATGCTCAGAGAAGCGTATTGTGCATAATTTATTATGCTAACAGTAAAAAATATCGTCATATTACCCTCCCATAGTTGGTAGTTTTCATTTTCCCAGTTTCCTGAGCCATAACAACAAACAAACAGGAGTTTTGCAAAGCTAACATTTCTGTAAACAGCTTGCTTAACTAGCTGGCTTAAAGGCAACAGCTGTATAAACGGTTCTTCAAGAATTATTCAAAATAAAATTATTACAGATCAGGAGACCAAGATGCAGTTGTTGAGGAACTTGGAGTGCTTCTGGGACAAGAAGAGTGAGGCATCAAGTACTACCATAATGACAACATAAACATTCATTTTCAAAAGGTTAACATGCATAGAGCAACTTAAAAACTCAAATATAAAGTACCCTCTATAAATATAGAAAAAAGTATGCTAATGATGTCTGGAAAAATTATACAAAAATGATAAAAATGCTGTAAATACACCAACATAAATAACACATCAAAAGTGAGTCTGTATAGCGAGTGATACAATGTGTTGAAAAAAAATGAGCTGCTAATTTTACTAAATAGCATAGTAATCAAATGTGTTGCATGCAACTCGCAAAGTTTCACTATGTAAAGCCAGTTTCCAAGCACTAACTGTGACTTCCAAGAGTTAACTGAACCATGTTTGTAAATATTTGTATATTATTTGTTTAATTACGTCAGTGATATTTTTAGGGAATTCTGAAAGAATACTCGCAGATCTCATTGGCTCACACAGCCACAGTACACTGGAAGAGCCAGCTGGGCAAATGTGGTGCTGCAGTATGGAGTCAAGAGCTGCTTTAAAATTCCGCTGGCAGATCTCTCTGAAAGTGCTCAGTGGTCATGTTAAACACACAGGCCATTAGCCATCATGGAATTGTGTTCTGAGGTGTGTTGTTTTGGATTGAACGGGTGAACTTTGTTTGCTGGAAGAAGCTCATCATGTTTGTCTACATTTTTGGCAGACAGTCGTCGGAAATTTATGACATCTGCAGGAGTCAAAACATTTGCTATCACATGCCACAGGTTTGTGAGTGTGCAGCGTTGAGCAGGGCAAGCCACTCATCTCTGTGCGTATAGAGGATAATTGGTGCCATAATGGATAGACAGGGAGGCCTCGGCTGTGTTGGTGATGTCATAGTTGTGGAGATAATAGATCTGTCTCTTGCTTGAGCCAGACTAAATAAGCTCTGATGGTCTTTAACAGCCCAGGGTTGAAGTGGGCTGCATATGGTTTACTGAGCAACAATCAGACTGATCTGTGCTTCTACTCATCTATGGTGCATTGTGCATCACTATCTTTTACATAGAGCTGTGGGTTTAGTCTTTATATTATGATTCACTAGTGAGTTAGATGTATATCTTTAGCCTGCACTTTTATTACTTGATCCAATTGGCTTACTCTGTTCTGAGGAACTAGAAAGTAGAATGAGGTTTTGCATGGGGGGAACACTCTGCAGATAGACCCTTCATTCCGGTTATGAATACACCACCTATATAACCATCTCCAACTATGTTGCCTAAATAACCTCCTCCAACTGTACTGCCTAGATAACCGTCTCTGTTTCCACTGCCTACACAACTCCGACTGCACCGCCTTGATAACTGTCACCGAATACACCACCTAGATAACCATTTCCAAATACACCTCTCAGATAACTGTCTCTGACTACACCGCATAGATAACTGTCTCCAACTGCACTACTTAGATAACTATCTCCGATTGCACCTCCTAGAGACCCATCTCCGACTGCACTGTCTAGATAATCGTCTCCCGTCTACACCACCTAGATAACCATCTCTGACTTCACCGCCTCGTTAACCATCTTAGACTACATCGTCTAGATAACCATCTCCGAATACACCTCTTAGATAACCGTCTCTGAATACACCATTTAGATAACCGTCTCCAACTACGCCACTTAGATAACCATCTCCAGCTACATCGCTTAGATAACCATCTCTGAATACACCGCTTAGATAACCATGTCCAACTACGCCGCTTAGATAACCATCTCCAACTACGCCGCTTAGATAACCATCTCCAACTGCACTGTCTAGATAACCATCTTCGACTACACCGTCTGAAACCGTCTCCGATTACACCGTCTAGATAACCATCTCAGACTACACTGTCTAGATAACAATCTTCGACTACACCATCTAGATAACCGTCTCCAACTGCACTGTCTAGATAACCGTCTCCGACTACACCGTCTAGATAACCATCTCAGACTACACTGTCTAGATAACCATCTCAGACTACACTGTCTAGATAACCATCTTTGACTACACCATCTAGATAACCATCTCCAACTGCACTGTCTAGATAACCATCTTTGACTACACCGTCTAGATAACCGTCTCCGACTACACCGTCTAGATAACCATCTCAGACTACACTGTCTAGATAACCATCTTCGACTACACCATCTAGATAACCGTCTCCAACTGCACTGTCTAGATAACTGTCCTCGACTACACCGTCTAGATGACCATCTCCGACTACACCATCTAGATAACCGTCTCCAACTGCACTGTCTAGATAACCGTCCTTGACTACACTGTCTAGATAACCGTCTTCGACTACACCATCTAGATAACCGTCTCCAACTGCACTGTCTAGATAACCGTCCTCGACTACACTGTCTAGATAACCATCTCCGACTATACCGTCTAGATTACCGTTTCCGACTACACCGTCTAGATAACCGTTTCCAAATACACTCCTTAGATAACTTCGTCTGACTAGACCGTCTAGATGACTAGTCCCATCTATGCCACCTACAAAAGCATATCTAATTACACCACCAAGATGACCATCTCTATAATGAGCTCTGTTCTGATTGAGCTGACTATGTGACGTACTAACCAGCTCTAATTTGCTATCTAGGAACAAACCCGGAATACACTGCTTAGCTAACCATGTCCAACTACTCTAGATGATAATTGGCACCTTAATGGTGGCACATGGTCTAAAGTGCAACAAATCTGTCTGATCTTCGCTTCTCTGTGTTCCACTACACTGCCTAGCATACCAGTCCCGACTTCACTTCGTGGTTTACCAGAACTATAACTAGTTAACCATACTCCCTATCTAATCAGCCTCCAATGTCTATCTAATCAGCCTCCACTATAATCTCAAACTAATGCTGTCTACACTCCCTTGCTAACCAGCTCCAACTACACTGCTGTGCTCACTGGCTCTAACTAGACTACCTAGCTAATGGTCTCCAACTGCCTTGCCTAGCTGAGCAGCTCTGACTGCGCTGCCTAGCTGACCCAGATAGCAAATTTGTCATGGCCCAAACCTGGGCAACATGGAATGAAGACACCAGGGTGGGCCACCTGCAGTTGCTATGATCCAGCCCTGTGAGAGAGCTACTCAGCCACCCTTAAACCACCACTGCCAGAACTGACCCACTGTCCAACCACAAGTTTAATCTCTGGATCTAGTTAAAATTTGGAAACAGTAATGGTAACGACCCAGTAGTTAAGTGGAGCGGCAGTGTTCTCAGTGGTTGCTCCATCATCCATGTGAAATGCGGGCAACAAGTTAAAGCTCAAGGTGGGCCGTAACAAATTTACAAGTTAGCAGGATAGATCTCACTTGATGGAAGTTATTGATCCAGGCTCGATGCTGTTTGCTTTGAAGGCAGTTTTCTGTTTTCTTTCCCAAGTTTCCTTACTTTTTTCCTTTCTTTTTATTTTGGGAGTGTGAGTTCTCCCAATCCTCATACAAAAGCAAAAGTGTTAAATCATTATTTATGGATGCTGCGCTCAGTTCTGAATAATTCAGCCCAGCTCTGCTGTCTCTAGACGTGTGTTGAAACTTTTATACACAACCATTCAATTCTGCAACTTTTCTTCTCATTGCATTCCAGCCACGTCTCCCCTCAGATAGAGCGAAATACTCTCTATCCCTCTCACACACACAAGCGCACATCCTTCCTGTATCATTAATGTCTGCCTTATGAAAGTGTAAAACTTTGATTATGAGGCTCTGCCGTTGCCTGGTTGAAGCTGCAGCAGGGAGAGGAGCTTAGTGTGCTTCGATGTTCCTGACTTTATTAATAACTTTAGTTTTGCCAACACTGACCTTACTTTCCTCTCCGCAGAACCTTCCAGAAGGCGCTCCCATCGTAGGCTCCCTCAAACTCACGTACATCTCTAAGGTGAGTGTTGCTTTATGCTGATTTTTTTGGTCATTGATACAAGAGCATGGCTTGATGTCTGAACTCTTCTGGTTTTAGGTCAGCGATGCCACCAAACTGCGACCGAAGGCGGAGTTCTGCTTCGGTAAGCCAGTTTATGTTCACCTACCTGCCTTCCTACCTACTTGCCTACCAGTCTGTCTGTCTGTCTACACTTGGTCAGCATTGTAGAACTTTTCAAACAAAGTTTAAAAAAATTCATAGCAAGTTAGATTTTAGTTCCTTTCTAATGTAATCTCCTCTAATAGTTAAGAAACATGAGATGTCTGAACTGTATACTCGACCAGTGGTCAGTGTAGAGCCTGAATTTGACTTCTTGATCAGAGTTTTGTTGTTGTTTAGTCCAAAGAAGGCATATAAAGACTACTGCGGCCGGCTGAAGGCACTGGGCAGCAGATAGTACAGAGTGCAGCCATAGCACATAGGAAGCATCACAGAAAATCCCCTATAAACAACAAGCCCGATTTTATTTTATACTCTTCTCACATAGATTTGATGGAATAAATCTTTCAGCATAATTTAGTGAAATTATCAGGTTTGATGTTACAAACTTTAAAGGGTCAAGGTGAAGTAAGTTATGATGTGCTTTTCCTTTTTCTGTAAAACTTTAGATTGACACCTTTCAAGCCACATCACCTACTTTAATATAGTAGTACATCTGATTATAAGAAGGTACTGAGTGGCCTTTTTTCATGCTTTATTTTTTTCCTTTTTTCTACCTGACTAACTCAAATGCACTAGAAGTGCAGTGCAGAACTCTTGACTTCTGCTCGGCTTCCCATATATTGTGTGTGTGTGCGTGAGAGTGTATGTGTGTATGGCATTGTACTCAGAATCCCAGACGGAGAAACACACGGAAAGTAGGGAGCACCAGGGAGGGTATCCAACAAAGGCGCGTACGCGTACACACAGTCCGCTTCACCCAAGGCATTGTTCTTCATAGTTTAAAGGAAGATGCTCATAAGAGTGGGAGCTCTGCTGAACTGAATTAGACCAGTTTCAGGCTCTGTATGCTGCCTGTGTATTTCCCTAGTGGAGCTGAACTTCAGGTTTATGCTTGACTTGACTCTAGCTCTTGGCTCAGAAACCATCAAACTGAGGGTTTGGCAAAAAAAAAAAATTAGATTTACACAAAACTTTCCCCAAAAATAGTCAAGCAGCCAAGTTACTAATGATATGGAAGTCACTTGAAAAGAGCAGCAGGAATAATAGTTATGTTGAGAATAATAAGCTATGAACTGCACTGCAATCATCTCTATTTCTGTACCCCATGCAAAACACCTCTGATAAAAAAGAAGCATTATAAGTCATTGAAGGAAACATGAATAAAGTGAGCTATCAAGACATATCAGAGGAGAATTTAATCTTATCGGCCAAGAAACTCAGCCTGGGCAGAAGATGGACGTTGTAACACGACGACGACCCCAAACAGACAGCCAAAATAATTCAAAGACTGGTTTCTAAAAAGGAAAGTGAAGGTGCTTGCAGGGCCTAGCTAATCTCTGGCAACACTTTATTTGAACTTGTGATAAGCTCATGTGAGTAACCGCAAGATAACCTAAGATGTTCTATGAAATAAATGACATTGCAGACATAAGAGGCCTAAAAAAAGAGGCCTTAAGAGGCCTTAAACTAAAGTGATGGGCATTTGTTCCATGTATATATAATAACACTATTATTAAGCATTCCTGAGTAATGGAACTTCTAGTTCTAGAAGTCTAGTTTATGCAGTTATATGTAGTTTTTCCTGAGTTAAAGTATTAGACCATAATGTCAATATGATATCATTTACTTTAGCTTATGGTATTTTGCAATTACAGGCATAAGCTGTTCATAAATACAGTACATTAGTTATGACATGCTTAATTAGGTTGCCTTCAGATAAAATGACTTGGATGTCATTGACAAGTTATGAAGGATTCTGAAGTGGTGCAAAAAGTGAATTTTGTCTTAGCTAAATTTGTTCATATAGTGTCAGAAACCACAAAAGCAAGTCATTATTACTTTAAGGCAAATGTATGTTGATTCTATTGCTAACTGGTGGGGTATAATTTCTCATTGCTTATTAACTACATTAGCCTCATAGAACCAGTTCAAAACTAAAGAAGAAACCTTCCGACTCCGAACACGTCTTGGCCGATCAACATTTGGAATAGGGGAAAAACTGTGTACTTCGTTTTTTTGGCCTAACTACTGCTTTAAAGGCGTCCACCCTCTCTGGGTTCCAGGACTATTCAGTATCCACACCAGCACCTGCAAAGCCTCATTTTGCATCTGGCCCTCATAAATGGAGGGAGGGAGATACAATAGCCATTGAGCCTGGCCTGGTCTTCTGGGACTACAGGGACGTACTCACGGACACGTCTTTATCGTCCACGTCCCCTCTCGCCTCCCTGCTTCGCTCCGCCCAGAAGTGGCTCTGTGTTTCAGTGCTGCTGTAAATAGGAGGAAGCAGTTGGATGACCGCAGGCTGACCTCCTCCTTAGAGATCCGACTGAGGGGGGGGGGTACCACAGGATGCTGGAGTTTAAATCGGAAACTCCAAACCTCTGGAGTATTTATAGCTCCCGTGTGCAGTAGTCCGAGCTGCGCTGTTGTCTTTTTTGAGAGGGAATGCTTGTCCTTTGTTTTCTGTTCTAATCATGTTAGCACTGATTAGGGGGTAAAGTTGCATATGAAGGTGGCAATCCAAGTGCATTGTTTTTAGATTGTTCGAATGGGTTATTATCAATTCAAATACTATAAACTAATGGCACTAATTTCTTTAATGCTGTTTTCCTGTGTCGACCTATTTGTGGCAGGCCGAAGCCCAGCTGCAGCACATTGTACGTGGCTATGATAGGATCTGCAATTGTAGCTGTTCGGTTCAAATATGGTTTTTTAAATGTGTGTTAAAGTGATACCTTCAGCACTTTAGCAGACTGTGCTGGACAGGGTTTGTGGTAGAAATATGGATAAATCAACCAACAGCAAGCGAACAGCTTGATGGAGCTCCGGGTCCCATCATGAGCCTCCACTGTAACAAGAATCCAGAAGCTGTTTGAATGAGAGGCTACAATCACCGTTGGCGCAGCCACTTGTTGCTCTCATTGAAAATTGGAGACAGTCTGTGGAAATCGTGATTTTCTTGGTCAGGTTCTGTATTTGCATAATGAAAATAATGTCATTGAGTTATTGAAGGTAATAAATAGATTCGGGTGAAACTTATTTTGTCCAGCCATGTAGCTGTAACAATATGCACTGCTTTTTAAAAGTGGAAAAAGAATCATTTAAGCAAATAGATACTTACGATGAATCATGATTAATTATTAAGCATTTGATAGCTCTAAATTATATCCAGTTTATTCAAAGTATGCTCTCATTTTTTATTTTGCTTCTTGCTGTCCTCCCAAAGCTTAATGTTTTGTTTTTATTGTCGAAAAATTTTGGTCGAATTGAAAGTCAGGACACACTGGGTCAAAAGCTGGAAAGATGACAGTAAATAAAAACAGTTTACACAAAATCAGCTAATGAAAATTAGGTGTTGTAGGCCAGTAATCTTTGTTTGGTTTTATGTTTTGGTCAAAAATGAAAGTGGCATTTTTGAGCATTTTGGACCAATATGGATGCTCCAAAATTTCATCCACCAGACATTTTTGGACGAAAACTGAAAGTGGCACTTTTGGTGGCCACAAAACATCTTTTGGATGAAAAACAAAGATGTCTTTTGTTTTTTTGCCATTTTTGTCCAGTATGGGTGCAATGAAATTTTAGCCACCAAATATTGTGGCCAAAATTGTCAAAAATAGCACCTCAGAGGCTCCTGAGTTGCGCAGCCATCTTAAGCGTTGGCCCTATCATCAGGAAAACGTCAGGTCAATCCCCGGCGATGCTACAGCCGTCCATGGCTGGGAGTCCAAGAGAGCACAATTGGCCTCACTCTCTGGGTGGGTGGGTGGGATGACCCCCCCCCATCATTCAGCACGACGCTAGTCAGTGCAGGCGTCTGTTAGCTGACGTAACAGAACTGATCGTTGGCGCTTTCCTCCGAGCGTTCGGCTGTCCACTGCTGTTGCGTGCACAAAGATTCGGAGCCGCTTCACAGATCTCGGAGGAAGCCTGTGCTAGCCTTCGCCCTCCTAGTGCTGGTGGCATCGTGCGACTGGGGGAGTCTTAACTAGTGGGTAGAATTGGGTATGACTAAATCAGGGAGACCCCCGCCACAAAAAAATGCACCTTAAAAATTTGGCCGAAAATACAAAAACTAAAATTTCGGTGGCTGAATTTTTGTGCATGCCTGTCAGTTTCACTGCTGTGTTAATAGTTCCTCCAGTCTTGTTTGTGCATTCGGTGTAATTTTTATAATATTTCTGAATCCTACCAAAGCAGTCAAATCAAATCGATTCCTATTGAAAGAATCATGAACAAAGCCAACAGTCAGAGCTTTACAGATGTAATATGGATCTAGAATGACGTTGTGTCTGTTTGTAGGTGATGACCTGCAGTGGAATGTGCTTTATCTGGTTATCTCACCTTGACACTTCTGGTTTGGAGTGTCAGTGGTTTGACCTATTTCTTGAAGGAAATGTGAGTGTATGTGTGCGTAAGTAGGCCTGGCCTGTAGACGGAATCGGGGCCAATCGTCTTCCTGTTATGATCCGCGGCCTCCCTCAGTGTTTACTGCCCTTGTGGGTTTACCGGAGCAGGATTTGGCGGAGCACCCGTCCAGCACAGGACGCCTGTTGGAGAGTGAACTAATTAAAAAACAAAGAAATTACCGAGCTGATCTACAGGACAAGCAAAATTGACTTTGTAAATGTTTTTTTATTTTACAAAATAAATGTTTTGTTTATTAAAACTGAAAGAGCAAAAACATTAGCGTTATGTTTTGAACCTCCTTGTTACTACATATAGATACTCAAATATATGTGATACATATGGGACTTTTATATATAGTTTTATATATATATATATATATATATATATATATATATATATATATATATATATATACATATATATATATATATATATATATGAAGATTTTTTAGTGAAGAAAATGGTTCTATATAGAATCATGAATACTGATGATTGCAAGATTGTAACAATAGAAGAACCCTTTTTTGTGCTATATAGAACCCTTTTCAAAAAGGTTTGATATAGAACCGTAAACAACACATTCTCAATTAATCTGAACACTTTCATGAAGCAAAGAACCCTTTAATCATACAAAAAGTTCTATGAGTGTTCATGATTCTATACAGAATTTTCTTTACTAAGGAACACTTGAAAACCATCTTTTTAAGTGTGTACAGTACTGTGCAAAAATCAGAGACCACCTTTTATTTATGTAATTTTCAATCAAAACAACCATTAAGTATAAGTTAGATATTTCTGAGATTAGTAGATGTAAGATAGAAGGAGAAGGGGAACGCCAAAGGAAAAATGGGACTCCTGCCAGCCACCCGAAAGACCTGGTAGACACCAACACTGCCCCCATCAGATAAACAGCACTTAAAGCTTTCATCTTTGAGAGAGAGGAGAAAATCAAGCTGCTCCAGATCTGAAAACATCCACAGGTGTTTCTGTCCATCCTTCCACTGTGAGAAGACGACTCGGCAAAAGTGAAAGTGAGTCTCGTCGAAAGAATGAATGCTGTAATAAAGGTGAAGAATGGACACAGTAAATGTACTTAATTGTACTTAATGGCCATTTTGATTGGAAATTATTTGAATGAAGGGTAGACTGAACTTTCACACAGTACTGTACATGTAAGAACCTATAGGTAATAATAATGCATATGGGACATATAGTTTGTACGGTAACACTTTCTATGAATGTCACGTTTGTAAGCATCTATAAACACATTTATAACATGTTATAATGCCTTCATGTGGCATTATAAACATGATTATAAACATTTATAAAAATGAGCTGGATTACACTTTATAGCCATGTTTATTATACATTATGAATTGTTAATATAATGCATTATACGTAGTGTTGATAACATGTTATACTGTCAGTGCCAAAGAAGTCAGTCCCAGCTTGGAGAGAGTAAAGTAAAGACAAATACCAAGCTAACGGTGGTGTACATTACCTTTCCCACATTGGGTAAAACACTGATGGCAGCACTAGTTTAAACTCTGACATTGGAAGCCTGTAATGAGCTTTACTGTGTATGTTTTAGTGTTTCAGTAAATCCTTCAGTAAATACTTCAACTTGAAGCCTCACTCTTAACACTGGAGGAGGCTTTAGTACAGTACGCTTCACTTTACTTAGAGCGGACAAATACAACTTATGAGCTCTTATAATTTGTTATGATCAGTACTTATGATGTATTATGTTAACAATTCATAATGCATAATAAACATGGCTATAACGTATAATGCATTTTTATAAATATTTATAGCCATATTTATAATGCCTTATGAATGCATTATAACATGTTATGAATGTGTTTATAGATGCTTACAAAGGTGACATTCATAGAAAGTGTTACCATTTGTACTTATATATAGGCACTCATGCTTATTCTCAGTGTCACAAACTCAGTTTAACTCTCTCTCTCTCTTTCTCTCTCTCTCTCTCTCTCTCTCTCTCTCTCTCTCTCTCTCTCTCTGCAGTCATCAACGCTGGAATGAGGAAGTTCTACCTGCAGGCTAATGATAAACAGGATCTGGTGGAATGGATCGCCGTTCTCAACAATGCCACCAAAATCACAGTGAGTCTCAACACCAACAGCTTCATATCATTGATCTCTGATTTCGTCTGATAACTGAAACCTGCAAATACGCAAAGATTACCACTGCGATTAGGAAACGGGCCTTCATCCATGTGGTTTCAAGTGCTTGAACAAACAGCACCATTCCCTGCCTTGTTTGATTGTTGCAGTATTAATGGTGGGCAGTGTTGGAAAAGAAATAATATAATATTTGAAGAAATTTCTACAATACACAGTATAAATCACAGTATGTGGTTTTTCTAAGGTTTAGCAAACAACTTCAGACACAGCATTTTAGTTCAAGCATCTTACAGTATTGGGGTTCCTAATAAGGTGGCCGATCCACAACCTTCTGTTAGAGGTATCAGTAGAATGCAACAGCAGAGTGCATTTCATGTACTGATAAAAATGTGTTAGGAGCTGTAAATAAGGTTAGAAAAGGATCTTTACCTTAAACCGTACTGTGCAAAAGTCGCCCTTCACTTATGTAATTTTCAGTCAATTTTTTCAGCACCACAGGAAAAGCAGTGAACATATATTTAAGAGAAAATTACCCAGAAGCTGCAAAAACTAAATATATATTTCTAGTCAGTGTTTACTGTGTCCACTCTTTACCTTTATTACACCACTCTTCTTTTCAGGAGACTCACTTTCAGCTTCTCAAAGAATCTGCAGACACACCTCCAAAGTTCAGTCTTAGAAGCTGGTTGATCATTTTCTGAAGTACTCAAACACATTCAGTGGTGTTGAGGTCTGGACTCTGGGGTGGTCAGTCCATTGTTCAGCTTCTTTGTTTGATGTGTCCGTCTCCTTTTCTCAGTGAGGTTCTTCTTGACAGCTACACATCCTTTCAGACCCACAGCGCTGAGTCGTCTTCTCACAGTGGAAGGATGGACAGAAACACCTGTGGATGTTTTCAGATCTGAAGCAGCTTGATTTTCTCCTCTCTCTCAGAGATGAAAGCTTTAAGTGCTATCAGTGACTTACAGCTGATGGACGGAGGTGCACCGCAGGCGGGGCTAGTGGACGCACAGGCCTGGCTAGCGAGCTGATATGCTAAAAGCTAATTCAAGGCTAAAGGCTCTCATTAAGCTGAGAGTCCAGTGATTCCTTCTGCTCTCTTAATAACATTAACTCATTAACTCAGACTGTAAGTGACCACACAGCAGCAGACGAGTGATTACTGAAAGAGGCAGCTCAGTTTTCAAGTAAGCGGCTCCGTCAGCGTGTAATTAACAGCAAAAAATTCCGTGACAGATTCCGCCATGGGGATTTTTACTGCTGCTTGTCGTCCCACATCACCAACGCTTCGTAGTGTCAGTCATAGGTATCGGTGTCACCATCACCAGTACTGACTCTGCGAGTATCGGCGCTGATACCAGTACAGTGTTGGTGCAACACTAGTTATAATGCATACATTTGCTTTCATTGAAAGTGCAAATGATGCTGCATCTTCAGTGAAACAGCTCTAATGTGATCGACCGCTTTATTGTTGTGCTTAAGCTTTAAAGCTTTATGAATGGAACAACTCTGTGTGCAAGTTCAGACTCCAGTCAGGCCTCGGAGGCCCTGCCTGGCATCAGGGCGCTGACTGACAGTGCACTTTCCATCGAATCTGTGCGTTTGTTTGTTATTGATCAGCGAATTGTTAAGTAATGTAACCCTCCCCCCCTCCAGCCACCACCAAACTGGACTTGTATAGGAGCTGCCTAGAAAGTTTGCATCCACCCACGCACTTCATTTACATCGCTCTGTTTACAGCAGTCAGGCAGCCTGTGTAGCAGTGTCCGCATTAGGAGTATGTTCAAGACGGGACGAGACCAGTTTTGCCAGAATGTACTTTGTAGGGGTATAAAAATGCAACGCTGTGTAATGGGCTGAAAAACAGCACTGTACTCGGAAGACCTGTACTTCTAAGAGAAAAACATACGTTTTAATTCTTATATTACCTTTCAGACCTCACAGGACATAAAAAGAGGCCTGTGAAAAAGTTTTGGCAACAAGAGTCACATACAACAATCAGCCATAACATTTAAAACCACCTCCTTGTTTCTGCACTCATTGTCCATTTTATCAGCTCCACTTACCATACAGGACCACCACAGAGCATATTATAGCATATGAGAATAGTCCACCAACCAAAAATGTCCAGCCAGCAGTGTCTTTTGACCACTGATTGAAGGACTAGAGGATGACCAACACAAACGCAGCAACAGATGAGCTATCACAAGTCTCTGACTTTACATCTACAAGGTGGACTGACAAGGTAGGAGTGTCTAGTGAGTGGACACAGTGTTTAAAAACTCCAGCAGCACTGCTGTGTCTGATCCACTCGTACCAGCACAACACACACTAACACACCACCACCACGTCAGTGTCACTGCAGTGCTGAGAATGATCCACCACCCAAATCATTCCTGCTCTGTGGGGGTCCTGTGGGGGTCCTGACCATTGAAGAATAGGGTGCAGAGAAACGGATGGACTACAGGCTGTAACTGCAGAAGAACTACAAAGTGCTCCTATATGGTCAGTGGAGCTGATAAAATTGGCAGTGAGTGTAGAAACAAGGACGTTCGTGTTAATGTTATGGCTGATTGTTGTTGTTCCGCAGAAGCTTCGAAAACAAGTCTAATTTTACTACACAGCGGCCTGACCAGCAAGTGTGCACCCCCCCCAACACACACACCACCTGTGTGGCATGAACAAGTGCATTTGCTCACTGTAAAACAACACAAATACATATATAAATAAATCGAAGCACAGCACACATGCCAGGGGCTCATTTCCTGCACCGCTTTCTCGTCGACTCTCCTCTCGTCTCTGACTCACCAGCTTTGTCCGATTCCTCTCTTTTTGTTTTTTCTCTTTCACTCCTTTCACACTGTAACTGTTCTCCGCTAGTTAAAAGGAAGAAAGAAAGCTTTCCGTTCTACAAACGGACCCTTTTCTTAAAGAGGAAGCCGGGCATTATACTCACATACACAGGCTCTTGTAAACTTCCACTCTGTTCCTCGGCTTGCAGAGGCCCACAGCTCCATGAGTGCAGATCGTAACAAAGGGCCGTCCACCTCTCTCCCAGAATGCATAGCGTTACAGGGAGAAGCGTCAGCTGAAGCTGCATCATCTAGCCTTGCACATCCATTCTGCCACCTGCTCAAACATTGGCGGTAGTCACTCCCTCAGGTCCAGTAAAGGTCAGCTTGATGACCCCTTGAAAATGTGTTCTCTTACAGATTGGCCACTAGCATTTGCTACAAGTGATTGATTTTTTAGGACGTATTTCTAAGGTGATTAGGTATAAGATAATCTGCTTGTATGAGGGAGGACAAAGTCAGAGGCAAATAAGTGAAGTTTCCAGAAGTGGAGGTCAAAAAATGACCAAAAGAGAGCCCAGCCTTCGTCCCTGACTGTGTCTGGGGAAAAATATCCATGCAGATTTCTTTGAAAAACTGAAAGAGGGTCTCCTGAAAAGAATGGAAGCTGTGATAAAGGTAAAGTGTGGACATAGTAAATATTTTTTAAAATTATATCGTATGTAGTTGTTGAGGCTTCTGTGTATTTTTCTATGCTTTTCTACTTTTTCCTGATGCTGAAAAATGAATAACTTGTACTTTAGATCATTGTGATTGGAAATTAAATATATGGATTCTGATTTTTGCACAGTACTGTAAGGGACGTAGTGGTCCTCTAGTGGGTCAGTGCCAAATAAGGTTTGCAAAAAATGTTTTTGAAAAGGACATGATGTGCATTTTTATATCTGCACATATACACACACACACATTGTCTAAGCTGCTTATCCTTCTGGGTCATCGGGGGAGCTGTTGCCTATCCCAGCGGTCATTGGGCGGAAGGCGGGAAACATCCTTGACAGTTCGCCAGTCCATCGCAGATATCTGCATATATATTTGCATTTACATCTCTGTGCATTTTATGTCTTAAATATAGTTACACGTAGTGTTATCAAAGCTTTTAATTGCCTATTTCAGTTAGTAAACTGTGCTGGTTTGGTTGCGCCACCTGACTTTTCAGACTAATCTGAAATTAAACAGGCATCTACTTAGGCACCCATAAAAACGTTTGTCCTTAACCTTTTTATACTCACATTATAAAAATTATTAAATAATTACACATTTTCATGGTTCTCCTGAGGTCACACCACCTGACATGGTGAACTGAACCGTTCTAACCAGAATAAAAGTCCCTTGTTTTCGGATGTGCTACCTGATATTTGACATTTTGAAACTTTTAGAGGCACAAAGGAAGCTATCGAATTTTACATGGATGCACTAACATTTGTATCACATAAAAGAGGTATTGTTGAATAATTCGATGTCTGTCATGTATTTATTAGATTATTTTTGGGGAAAATAATGGACTTGTGATGTCATGTCAGTGTCCTGTCAGTGACTCCCCTATTAAATTTTAAATTAAGACAGAAAAGTATTGAATTAAAAACAGTTGTCTTCTTCTTCCACCTTAGAAATTAGTTTTGCTTTTGCCTGGCTGGATACAGAAACGTCCAAACGTTTGTAGACACCTTCTCGTACAGTATTTCTTCTGAAGTCAAAGGCGTTGATTATCGATGCACCGAGAAGAAAATTCTTGTCCCAAACCAAAGATGGAACCCACAGATAGCAAGCAATACATAAAAACAGTTTATGTAGTAAACTGACTAAAGTGATTACTATATGAAGTCCGAAGTCTTCAACAATGATTGCTGTTATTCTGTTATATTTTGCACTTTTGTGCTCTTGTTTATTCACTTTTCTGTACAAGCAGGATGTTGTATTTTCAAGTGGTATCAGATCTATAGTGATGAAGTTCTTGGGTGTTGTTTCTCTTCTTAGGCTACGTTCACATTACCAGGTTGAAGCGGCACAAATCCGATTTTTTGCTGGTTTTGATGTTTTCAGGGCTGTGTGGACACACAAATCTGATCTTTTCAAATCTAACCTGAGGCACTTTCATATGTGGTCTTAGATCGGATATGTATCCGATTCATGGCCATGTGACCTCAATGTGACGCTCAGATTGGAATTCATGTGCCTTTTTTCCACTGCGCTGCGCCATCATTCAGCGTTACCATGGCAGCAGCGCCGAACAGAAGTTAAAGCCTGTAAACGGTGGAAAAGCAGCTCATCTCACCTTTTTCTCCTTCGTCTCGCTCTAATAATGAAGCTGAGAGCTGATCAGAGTTAATGATCTTCACAGTGAAGCTCGTTCTGCTCGTTAGTTTGTTGCTGATGATGCTTGTGATTCATTCACGTGACGTTACTGAGTAGGATGAGCTCATGAGGGTCATTTCAGGACGCCGGTTCGTCACATTAATGACAGATTTGAATCACTTACCTAAACAAGTGTGAACCATCGTGTCAGAGAGATCGGATTTGTGCAAAAAACTCGGATGTGAGAAATAAGGCTTGTAACGTGAACGTAGCTTTAATAACTCAGGATGAACAGAGATTATAAATCTAATGTATGATCTTCCACTTAAAAACCATGATGTAGTTCCACACAGCTGATGTTTTCACTGTTGATCTGTTGCCACTGAGACTGTTTAAACAAAAAGCACATTGACTCACTGTTTCTCATTTTGCTTAGTATTCAAATTTTGGTGAGTGTAAGATTTTGACACTTTGTTGCTTTTGGAGCATCCCTGATATTATAGTTTGTTCCTTACTTAACTCCTCTGGGAAGGCTTTACACTAGATGTTGGAACACTGCTGTGAGGATTTGATTGAGCATTAGTGAGGTCATGTACTGATCAGTTCTGGATCACTCCAACTCATCCCAAAGGTACTGGATGGAGCTCCATCACTCCAGAGAACACAGTTCCACTGCTCCACAGCCCAATGGTGAGGGGGGGCTTTATCCCTCCCTGCCTTTTTATGGAAATTATGCAATCTGTAAGTGAGCAGTTGAACTATTGGGTCAGTAATCTTAAAGTAGGCATGTTCACTAGGTAGAAGGACTTTTCATGTGTATGTGCTAGCGAGGCTAACCATGATTAGGTCCCCTAGTTACAGTGTACTCACTATTACAGACTGTCACTCGACTCTTAGCACTGTGAAACATTTACAGGTTCCGAAGTCGGGGGACCACAGTGTGCAGAACCCAGCAGAGGCTTGTGCAGAGGTTCTGGGGGCCATGAAGCAGGTGTCCTACAAGACGGAGATTATTGGAGGAGTGCCCATCATCACTCCTACACAGGTCAGTTCATTTACATCCATTAATTATATCATAATCATAGTATCGGAGCTGAATCAGTTTAAAGCCTCAAAAGGCTCAATCAAAGCTGTACTGTTCGCTTTAGTGGCTTATTGCGTTGTCTTGTGGTTCAAACATTGACGCTAAAAAGGCCCAATGGCGTCAGGAACCAGGGGAGTCCAGTTTTTGCCAGGTGGTCTTCCGAAGAGTAATCGTTATTTGAATTGCAGTAATAGAGCTGAAATTTTAAGGTACTAAACAGAGGTGGCCCCAAAGCTTCTCCTTCATATCCAGGTTTGGCTCATACAACAGCTCAAATGTTGTAAGAAAATACATTTAAAACTTAGATTGCGGATCCTTTTTAACGGGTTCCAGTTTACTGCACAATTAGCACGCTTGCATACTGCACCTTTAATGTTTCTGCTTACTGCACCTTTAATTGTCTGAGGTTTAACCCCCATGTGCTGTTTTCGCTTTTTGCAGGAGAAGGGGGAGGGGCAGAATGGGGCAGAGCGTGCTGCTCCAAGGAAAGCCCATGGCCAGATGCCCTACTACCTGAGCCGCGCCAACCAGGACCAGTCAGTGGTTAAAGCTGGCTTCTGCGTGAAACAGGGTGCAGTGGTGAGTCACATGGTCAACATATTGGCCACTGTTTACTGTGAGATTTTTTCATTTCAAATATAAATTTCCAAAACAAAATTATTAAATATAAAATAAGTGAATAAACGAATGAAGCCCATGAAGCAGTTTGAATGTAGAACCTTAGCTCTAGAATCATTATCATCTTAATTACAATGATAATAACATTGTATTTACATAGTAATGTAATACAATAGTGTAGTAAAGTTGTTTTTGTGTAGTAATAATGGAATCAGTAATGTGTTTAAGCCAGTCAGCTGCGTTGTGAGTTTGGGTAGGTCTAAATATTTATTGTTATTTCTGATTTTGGAACTCCAAATGTGCTATTTCATAGTTTTGATGTCCTCCATATTATTTTGAAATGTGGAAAACATTCAGTATATTAGGTCTTCCAGTTTATAATCACAGCAGTGACTGACGTTCTTCTCCATCTGTCTGTAGATGAAGAACTGGAAGAGGAGATACTTCATGCTGGATGATAACACCATCAGTTATTTTAAGTCGGACCTGGTGAGTGATTTTTTTTTTCTCGCTTCTCTCATTTTTTTCCTCTACGTGAGACCCTCAGCTCTGATAAGCGAAAGTCCAGCCGCTGTATTGTTCACAGAAGCTGGCCAGCATCCTAAACACATTTCCACAGTGAAGCATAGTTTCCAATGTTTCCCAACATCAGGCCTGACAAACATTACTCATTTCACAAAAGAGCTCCACATTTTGATAACGATGGCAGACGAGCCAGTTAAGATATGATGCTGGGATGACTATTAGCTGGTTAGTGTTAATGTAGTGCTGCAGATCTGCTCATTAAAGCAGGAGATGAGAAGCGGAGCGCTGCTGAAGGCATACAGGTTTTCACGGTTTCGGTGGTTGCATTGCCTTATGAGCCGAGTGGGGTACCTGCTGATTTCCATGCTGAAAAAAAAAGCAGACTAGCCAGATAAAATAATTAAAATTAAAATCGTCATTGTGATAAATTAAATGTAAATGCTGTTTCGTTTTTGAGGTCTATATGACTCCGAAAAGCTGTATATCACTGCGGTCAGAACAAAACCTTGTATCTCCATTTTTGTTGTTTTTCAGTTTTTGATATAATTTGAAAATGCCTGTTATGCTTTACATTTTGTGTAAATTTCAGGATGAATGGACCAAAAGAAACAACCCAAAATGACTTGGCAAGACATCTGGTTCCATTGACTTACATTGAAAGTACATTATGTTTTTCCTTGTCCTGCAAAGTTATCATTTTGGAGGTACGAGGTTTTTTTTCCGACAGCAGCGATATGAAAAGAGGGCTGTAATGGTGACACGCTAGCATCTGGGTTTCAGCCTGACTGTTATGCCGCCTACTGGATATATTTTGAACTGCAGTGATTTCAAATTAGGGCTTAAGTATTAAAGGGGTGATTTTGAGATCAAGTATTTGATTTTGAGTTGGGCCCATCAGGGTTTTTGGGGCCGATACCAATCACAGATTGCCTTTCAGCACAATTGGCCAGTAGCCATACCAATCGAGAGTGGGGCTGGACTGTTAAGACCTATTTACACCAAATACGATTTTTTTTCGAATAAAAAAAAACGCATACGATTTTAATGTGTTGGGATCTTCACACCAAGACCAAAGCGTTCCGCCCAAACGCTGAAAACTAAACAACTAATCAGTGTATACACTGGGTACGTCCCGTTCTCCCAAAAAGACAACAACACAGAGTTCCACCGCTTCTTCCAAGAGCGAGCAGAAGCTGCATGATGAGCGATTCTGCAGGAATTTCCTCAGTGGGGGAATTCAAGGCTCTGTTTCTGCTTGTTGCTCCTCTCATTAAAAAGGTGCGAATGAGCTCCAGTTAAATAAAGTCGCTGTAACGTTCTCACCGTCATTCATAGCCGTATATTGTATTTAACCTCCACATTTTTTAGTCAGCATTTGCTTTTTGTATAAGCTTTTGTGCTCGGCTACAAACAAGAGTTCTGCCGCCATCCTGACACACATTTGGCTGCAACCATGACAACGGAGGTTGATTTTAACACATCCACACAGCACAGAAAACAGAGCAGGCTAAAAATTTGCGCAGCGACGCTGTCCATCAGTTTCGGACTCTGTGTGGAATACGGCAGTATTACACGTGTGTCCATTTTTAAAAGTTCACGATTTGAATTAGGAACTGACCAGGGAGCCTTGCAAAGGTCTACGGAAATCCTTAAATATGGCTCATGCGTTTTATGTCGCTGATCTCCTGCTGCTGATGCTGCCGCATAAACTCAAACTATCTAATTAACAATTGCTTTACCTGTTTTTCCCTGTTTTGTATTCTAATATTTTATACTAATTCTGTTTGCTATCCAGTGTTGACCAGAGGAGGATGGGTTCCCCTTTTGAGTCTTGGTTCCTCTCAAGGTTTCTTCCTCTTGCTCTTAGGGAGTTTTTCAGATGCCACTGTTGCCATTGGCGACGCTTATGGGGGCTCGGACCTGGATTTTTCTGTAAAGCTGATTTGTGACAACACCTGTTGTAAAAAACGATTTATAAATAAACTTTGACTTGACTTGATCAGCTCTTATGGATCAGCAGGGAAATATCGGCCAGTTGCATATTTGGGCTGAAAATCAGCCAATACCCATACATAGCTTATTGATTGAAATGATGCTCGGGCCCTATAGAGTATGATAGGGGTGGATCAGCTTGTTCAGAAATGGCCCTGAGAGTCAGTAATCATGCCTCACGAGTGCAGTAGGAGTGCAACGAATAATCAACGTAGTCGGCTAAAATCGATGAACAAATTAGTTGGCAATGAATGTAATTGTCGATTGGTTGGTGACATCATCACGTGTTTTTCGCGCTGACTGGAGTAAACAATAGCGCAATGGCAACGCCTTCATAACCTTACTTTCCGTAGAATGTTAATGTCAAAAATAGGCCATGTTACTTCACGTTGTGAGCTTGAGCATGATATCAAGTGGTTGCAAATGGCAATCATAGGGGTCCAAGCACTGGGTTCCATTATGGAGCCAGTAAAGCACAAAAGACAATATTTGTAGAGTGACTTCAATTTATGTTAGATTTATAACCGAACACATTGGCCTAACGTTTCCTATTTTAAAACACATTTTCTCTTGATCAATGAATTATAAAGGGTGTTGAACATACTAGAAAGCTGAACAGGAATGGGGATAGCAGTAACAGCACAGTAATCCCACGGTAAACTGCAGGTATGGGGGTAAAACCAAAAATATTACAGGAATGAGGATAAACTTTATGGTGTTCCTGTGGGACGGTACTAAATGGTAATAAAATGTCTGTAAGTGCGGCCTTCTGCATTGTTTGATCCAAAACATTCTGACCTATGTACTGTGATGAGTTTTTTTCTTTGCTTGATGGATAAAGTAGGTCTTAAACAGCTTCAACTGCTGTAGTTTTGTTTATTTCACTGTTGTTGGATGAAAACATTGTATCTCCATTTTTGACATTTTTCAAAATACTTGTTACCCTTTACATTGTGTGTAAATTTCATGATGAATGGACTAGAAGAAAAGACCCAAAATGACTTGGAAAAATGTACTGACCTACATTAAAAGTAAAGTGGGTTTTTTTCTTCTCCTGTAAAGTTACCATTTTGGAGATACGAGGTTTTCTTCCAACAGTGATGTATATATATGTGTGTGTGTATATATGTGTATATATATATATATATATATATATATATATATATACACACACACACATATATACATCACTGTTGGAAGAAAACATTTTTCCAAGTCATTTTGGGTCTTTTCTTCTAGTCCATTCATCATGAAATTTACACACAATGTAAAGGGTTGTATAGTCAAGTATTGAATAGTTGAATAGACAAGTATTAGTTTCAATAATCCATAGATTATTCGGCTACCAACATACTTGTTTGTTGCAGCCCAAGAATACAGTAATGCTTAATTGGTGGGTCTATGGAGAGCAGTATGAGCTGTCAGTGCGTTGTTCCAGCCTGTCTGAGTGAATGCTCTAAATTCCATTCCTACTTTGACGTGTTGACGGGCTGCAGCTTACAAGTCAGAGCATGTGTGTTTTTTACCTCTGCTCAAAAACTCCAGCTCACTCATACATACAGACTCGTCACATCTCGGATATCAACTGATAGTGTAGTTTGTGGAGATTGACGTGAATGGCATATTGATAACGTCACAGAAATGTAAAAAAAGGGCCATGTTTTGTGAGCGGTGAAGTCGGTTTCATTTATCACATATTCAAATCTCTTTCTTCTTGTTTTGAAAGGTGTGCAACAAAGGGTCATATGTGAATCATTACCAACCAGGATAATGAGTTTAGTTTTGATTGAAATTGATGTAAAACGTTGATTTCTGTGAACCGCTGTAACAAGCGGTTGCAAGTGGCAATCATAGGGGTCCAAGCACTGTGCGCCATTATGGAGTAGACAGTGCTTTTAGAATGACCTCAGTTTACAATAGATTTTTAGCTGAACACATTGGCTTTTTGACCTTGGCATGGTATGCCAGAGATTTTTTATCAAAAAAAGCCAAAATACGTAGAAAACAAGAAAAAAAAGTCTCAGAATGCATTAGAATCGTGGAAAATTATGCCTGTGCATTTTGATATTTGAGTATCCATTAGGGTTAGTGAACTGATAATTGGTTAAGGAAAAAACAAGGGAAAAACAGACTTTAAAGTAGGGCAGTAGGCTTACCTTTTTAGGTGTTGCACAAATATTTGGCAGTACGCAGAGGAAAACTTTTGGGAACATGTTTTATTGTTCAAAAATAGGTTTTCGTGTAAGGCTTCCCCATCACTGCTCAGACGTTAGATTCTGTGGATTTCTACTTGGAATTCTCAACCCCAGAAGCAGAGCTCATTTGGAAAATGACAGTTTATGTTGTTAATATTTCAACTTTAGCACTGCATTAGCTTGTCTTGTGAGCTGTATGAGCCTTACTTAATCTCAGATATAGATGCACTGTGTAGATCTCTTGACTGTAAAGCTCCCACACAGAAACTATTACATAAAAAAGGTTATGAAAGTGCTGCCTAATGTCTGAGACACTGTTTTATGGCAGTATTGCAGGACATTGTAAGGCAAAATGGTGTTTTTTTCTGGATTTACCTTTGTTTTACTATTAGCAGTGTTTCCCTCACCATTAAATCAAACTCACATGCCACCTGGCTTGGATGAGATGGATGCAGATATTGTGTCAAAAAATGGTCCTGTAATCAAGATTTTTCTAGCATTTTTCCCAAGAGCAATCATTTTTTCTGATTTTAATAACAGCACAGAACATTTTTAGTCCTCTGTTAAAATCCAAAGTGGCCATCAATAACTGAAAGCTAATGAGGGGCCAGTTGATTATGTGCTAGTTGACTCCCTTTGGCTGTTATTCACCATCAGCATTTTAGCGTGACAGTGTTTTGCATGTAGTAATTGCAATATTAAAGCTACACTGTGTATGTTTTGGAGACCTCTCTGGTGGAAATGTGTAGTTGCATGCAAAATGAAGAATATCATTTTGTAACCCCCCCCCCAAGGCCCCTGAAGAGATGAATCTGATGATGGAAAGAGAATTTAAAGTGAACTTAGTCATAACCTTTGTGACCGAAACATCGAACCGGACCTTCTTTTTGAGTCTATGCACGTGACGATTATACATAAAGACAGATGAGGTAACACAACTGTAGGGTATTGTAAATAAGGCTGTCATGACAACTGACATAACCCTACATTAATGTTTATAAATGCTTATTCCAATTGGCATTTGCTATGAAGGTTACATTTACCAATTTTGATCCCAAGTTGGCTACAGTAGTCTTTATGACATACGATGCCTATTAGAATAAGCATTTATAAATGTTCATATAGGGTTATGTCAGTCGTCATGACAGGCGTATGTAGGAGTCATGTAGCCCTATGAACAGCACCCTACAGTAAAGTGTTACCACATACGACATGGTGTAAAAAACTCCAGACTCGACGCCTCTGACTTATAAATGATTGTTTCAGGCTTTACACTCACAGTATTTTAGTTTTTATCTCCCGACTTAGTAATGCTGCCTCTTTCAATTTGAAGAAAAAAATTGTACATACTGCAGCTTTAATATTTTATAAATCATTTTGCAATTGTGGTGCCGTTAGTTTTTCAGATTCAGGTGACAGCGCTGGACTTTTCAAGGTTCTGAAGAATCGTTAAAGTGGCTAACAGTGGCTGAAAAGCTGTTGAGGGTCAGTTAGCATTGGGCAAATAACACAAGCTGATACTGTTAGCGTAGTTTTTTCACTTAGAAAACCACAGCAGTTGCGTCAGATGGTGGTCAGATGGTGAGGGGTCCTGTGTTGGTGATCTTCTGGTGGAGAATGAATATAGTAACCATCAAACCACAAGCAAGTCATTTTTGGACGCTCTTCTGTCCGGGTGTTAGTCTGAGTCAGGAACACAGCTGTGTGGATGGAAGGACTTGGGCAGAGAGGGAGGTTTCAGACTAAATCATACAGCACTGTGTCAATAAAAGGCTATTTTAGGCCTGATAATGACGGCCTTGTGTTCTCTCCAGCGTCCAGCCCGAGTGAAGAGCTTTCTTTTTGCTTTTTCAACCATTCTACCTCACAAAGAGAGAGAGAGAGAGAGAGAGAGAGAGAGCTGCTTCTTTTAGTATTTTACTGTATTCATTAAATTACATCAAAATGTGGTACATTCTGAATAAATAATATTCTTTTGCATTCATTTTTCAATCTCACTTCTCTCTCTCTCTCTCTCTCTCTCTCTCTCTCTCTTTCTCTCCCCCTTATCTCTCTTGCTGTCTCTCTCTCTCGCTCCCTTCTTTCTCTCTCCCTCTCTCCCTTTACGCTCTCTCTCCTTCCCTCTTCTTTCTGTCTCTCTCTCCTTTCTTGCTTTGTCTTTTCATTCTCTCTCTCTCTCCTTCTCTCCTTCCCCCTCTCTGCCTTCTCTCTCCTCCCCCTTCTCTGTCTCTCTTCTCTTCTCTTCTCTTCTCTTCTCTTCTTGTTTTCTCTCTCTTCCTTCCCTCTCTTTCCCTCCTCCCCCTTCTGTCTCTCTCTCTCTCTCTCTCTCTCTTCTTTTCTTGCTTTTTGTCTCTCTTCCTTCTCTTTCTCCTCTCTCTCTCTTCTCCCCCTGTATTCTCTCTCTCCTTCCCCTTCTCTTCTCATTCTCTCTTCCCTTTTTTTCTCTCTCTCTCTATCTGTTCTCTCTTTTTCTCTCTCTCTCCTTCCCCCTTCTCTGTCTTTCTCTTCATTTCTTGTTTTCTCTTTTCCTTCTGTCTCTCCTTTTTCCTCTCTTTCTCTCTCTCCCTTCTCTTTCTCTCTCCCTTTTCCCTTCTTATTTTCTCTATCCCTTCATCCCTTCCTTCTCTCTCTCTCTCTCTCTCTCTCTCTCTCTCTCTCTTCAGGACAGAGAGCCTCTGCGTATGATTCCACTGAAGGAGGTTAATAAAGTTCAGGAGTGTAAACAGAGGTCAGTGCCATGGGCGTGTGTGTGTTTGTGTGTGTGGGTGTGTGTATGTTCGTGTGGTTGTGTGTGTGGGTGTGTTCGGTCTTGTTTGTGTGTGCGGAAGTTGGTACCAAGTGCCGTAGTAAACAGCCATTTTTTAGGCCATGCCCCCTTTCCCCTGATCACCCTAAATGACCAATGGAGGCGGCAGTGGAAAAAAAAAGAACCATTCTCTTCAGAAAAAAAAAAAAATACACTTGAATTTAACACCCCAAGTTAATTTAACATTTCCAGTGTTACAAACGAACCAGTTAGTTCAGCATTAATGGAATGTCTCTGGTTTAAATGTGTGTATTTGGATTAGAGTCCCAATGTTTGTGTGGAAAGAAACTTTTTTTAAAGTTTTTTTTTTTTTAACTTGTTTTGCTCAGCCATTCTCAAAATATTGATTGATAAGTCATGATCGAGCTGAAACGATGTACAAAAAGCACAGTTTCCACAGTACGTCAGTAAATTAAACCACCGAAAAAACAAATGATGTTAGAAGTGTCAGCAAACCAAAAACATACAGATTGTTTGGCTACGTTCACATTACCAGTTTGAAGCGGCACAAATCCGATTTTTTGCCCTAATGTGACTCAGACCTGATGTTTTCAGAGCTGTGTGGACACACAAATCTGATCTTTTCAAATCCAACCTGAGCCACTTTCATGTGTGGTCCTAGATCAGATCCGTATCCAATTTGTGGCCATGCGACTTTAATGTGACGCTGACATCTGAATTCATGTGCTTTTTTTTCACTGCACTGCGCCATCATTCAGCGTTACCATGGCAACAGCGCCAAACAGAAGTTAAAGCCTGTAAACGGTGGAAAAGCAGCTCATCTCACCTTTTTCTCCTTCGTCTCGCTCTAATAAGGAAGCTGAGAGCTGATCAGAGTTAATTATCTTCTCAGCGAAGCTCGTTCTGCTCGTTAGTTTGTGCTGATGATGCTCGTGATTCATTCACGTGACGTTACTGAGTAGGATGTGCTCATGCGGGTCATTTCAGGACGCCAGTTCGTTCACATTAATGACCGATTTGAATCACTTACCTAAACGAGTGTGAACCATCGTGTCAGAGAGATCGGATTTGAGCAAAAAATCGGATTTGAGCAACGAGGCTTGTAACGTGAACGTAGCTTTTGTGTCATGTAGCTGACCGTGTGAACCCTGACCGTGCTGTGTTTTCAGTGATCTGATGATGAGGGACAATCTTTTCGAACTCGTCACTACCTCAAGAACCTTCTACATTCAGGTGAGAACAGTGTTCTGCAGTTGCCTGTAGTCTTCAGGGTCATTCTTCACCAGCTCTCAGAGGAATAGTTCTAAGTCCATTTAACGCAATTAACCCTAAATGGTAATTAGCCAGGAAGTGTCTGAGCTTTGCTTCAAGCAGTTAAGAAGTAATGTAGCTAATAAATAATAGAAGCTAATACCCCACCAATTAGCGCTGTGCTAACTGCAGTTCTGTGATTCTTTAAACATGAATGTGACTGCTAAAGCAGCTTTTAAATTAGCAGAAATGTGCAAAGTTATTCATTAGTTATTAATTATATTATTATATAGTTATTAGTTATTAATAAAGGATAAAATCAGTTCAGAGAACATTCAAATGTGTTATAATCAAAAGTGATCCGTAGTTTGATGATTTACCTTATTGGTTTGTTTCTTGGTCTCTCTCTCTCTCTCTCTCTCTCTCTCTCTCTCTCTCATTCTTTCTCTTTCTTTCATTCTGTCTCCCCCGTTTTTTTCTTTCTCTCTCTCTTTATTTTTCTCTCTTGTGCTGTCCCTCTGTCTCTCACTCTCTTTTTGCTCTTTCTCTCGCTCTCTGCTCTTTCTGTCCGTCTCTCTCTTTTTCTCTTGCACTCTCTTTCTTTATTTATGTCTCTCTGTTCTCTCTTCTTCCTCCCTCTCATGCTTTCTTTCTCTCTTGCTCTCTCTTTCTTTTTCTCTCTCTCACACTCTGTTTTTTTTGTCTCTCTCTCTCTCTCTCTTGCTCTATGTCTCTCTCTTTCTCTATCTGTCTCTCTCTGTTCTCTCACTCTCTTCTTTCGCCTTCTTGCTCTCTCTCTCTCGCCCTCTCTTTCTTTTTTTGTCTCTTTCTCTCTCTCTCTCTCCTTCCTCTCGCTTACTCTCTCTTTCTGTCCCTCTCCCTCTCTCTTTCTATGTCTTTCTCTCTCTGTTCTCTCGCTCTCTTCTTTCACCCTCCCTTGCTCTCTTACTCTCTCGTCCTCTTTCTGTTTGTTTTTTACTCTCTCTCTCTCTTTCTCTCTCTCCCTCTCCCCTTCCTCTCACTCTCTTTCTCTCTTGCGCTCTCTTTCTATTTCTGTTTCTTTCTGTTCCCTCTCTCCTTCTTCCCTCTCTTGCTCTTTCTCTCTCGCCCTCTCTTTCTGTTTCTGTCTCTTTTTCTCTGTCTCTCTCTCTCCCCTTCCTCTCGCTCACTCTCTCTCTCTTGCGCTCTCTCTCTTTCTATTTCTTTTTCTCTCTGCTTTCTCTTTCTCTCTCGCTCTCTTTCTCACACTCTTTGTCTCTGTCTCTCTGCTCTTTCTGTCCATCTCTCTCTCTCTCTCTTTCTATTTCTGTCTCTCTCTGTTCTCTCGCTCTCTTCTTTCGCCTTCTCTTGCGCTCTCTCGCGCTCTCTCGCGCTCTCTCTCTCTCTCTCTCAGACGGACAGTCCAGAGGAGATGCACAGCTGGATCAAAGCCATCTCCGGAGCGATCGTGGCCCAGCGGGGTCCGGGTCGCTCTGCTGCTTCGGTACGTTCTGCCCCTCGTCCTGCCCCTCTCCTGCGTCCTGTCCAGCTGAGACTGAAGCCCAGGCTTATAACTGCACCTCTCTGGGTTATAAGCTATTGGCAGCATCTCCACCATTTTCACTCATTAGTTCTGCGCCGTCCACGACGCCATCACCCGAAAACAAGTTATTACCACCCGCTAAGTCTTAAGGGTGCGTTCAGGTTTGGTTCCATTAGCACGAACTCCAGTTTGCATTCAAGCCAACTCTGGTGCAGTTGTTTGAGATATGAACGCAAAATAAACCAAAGACGCCTGTAATGACCGAACACAGAAGGAACCGTAGTTGTACCATCGTGTCCACCTCTAGCAGATAGATTCTTAGCGCCACCTTGGGGCCACAGTATTGTATGTCCATTTTATCTTTTTGGCTGTGAATATGCTTTAGTGTGTGTTAATGCACTAGTATAGGTTATAAAATATAATATAAATGAAAACACGGGCTTACTTTGCTCTGCTTTAAGCTTTAGCTCAGCTATAGCCACATTTCTCGCATCTCTGGCAGAAAACATTTCCGCAAAAGGAGAATAATGTTTTGTAAAATGCCTCTCAACATTTAACTTTTTACGAAGCTGAAGTTGCTTCTCATTCGCCAGCTTCTTGTTCGAATTTTCCTATTCCAACTTAAAAGGTGCCTGAATGTAACCGCTGCACCATTTACGGTGGAACGGGAGAATTCGAACAAGAAGCTGGCGAATGAGAAGCTGAACTCAGCCTTGTGACTCTTAAGTGTTTAATAGTTTCTTGTTGCAAATTAAACGTATCAGTAAACCAGCTGGTGTGATTATAAACGCAAATAAGTCCATTCGTCTCCAAATTATCGATGTTCATCTTTCTCTTTGCTTTTTTGTTAGCTACTGCCTAGGCGAGACTGTTGTCTGCATTGCTATGGTGACTGCACGACAACCGTCAGGGTGAATTAGCAGATGTACCTTAACTCCAGTGTTTAAGACCATTTATTTATTATTTAAACTTGGTTGAACGATCAGCAGAGCTTCATTTTACTGCAAAAGGAGGATTATTTTATTTTCACCTACAATTCTAATTCTGCTGCGGAGCCGCAACAGGGCAGCTCCAGGGCCGCATGTTGCCGACTTCTGGTCTATGAAGATTGCACTACTAATGTAAATGTAAACTACAGATGTAAACACAGCCTTAACGTACATCAACTCATGAACAGACATTATTTATACATTTATTTTTACATTTATCAAAACAGTTTTATGAATTAGACACCAAACATTTGATTTTTTCCCCAATTATTCCTGTCAAATTGAAGCTGAGAGTGTCTTACCTAAGTTGTTTGGCAATTTTAAAAAAAAAACACACACACATAGATTGAATGTGTATCGGCTGTTACTCAACATCAGAATACTTAGGACATTTAAAGTGAACAGTGAACAAGTTAATGAGCCATTTTCAAGCCATTCTGACGATAGATAGATAGATAGATAGATGTGTAGGTAGGTAGGTAGGTATGTATATAGATAGGTAGGTAGGTATGTGGATAGATAGATAGATAGATAGATAGATAGATAGATAGATAGGTAGGTAGGTAGGTAGATAGATAGATAGATATGTAGGTAGGTATGTAGATAGGCAGGTAGGTATGTAGATAGATAGGTAGGTAGGTATGTAGATAGGTAGGCAGGTAGGTATGTAGATAGATAGGTAGGTAGGTATGTAGATAGGTAGGTAGATAGGTAGGTAGGTAGGTATGTAGATAGATATGTAGGTAGGTATGTAGATAGGCAGGTAGGTATGTAGATAGATAGGTAGGTAGGTAGGTATGTAGATAGGTAGGTACATAGGTAGGTAGGTAGGTATGTAGATAGATAGGTAGGTAGGTATGTGGATAGATAGATAGATAGATAGATAGATAGATAGATAGATAGATAGATAGGTAGATAGATAGATAGATATGTAGGTAGGTATGTAGATAGGCAGGTAGGTAGGTATGTAGATAGGTAGGTAGATAGGTAGGTAGGTATGTAGATAGATAGGTAGGTAGATAGATAGATAGATAGATAGATATGTAGGTAGGTATGTAGATAGGCAGGTAGGTATGTAGATAGATAGGTAGGTAGGTAGGTATGTAGATAGGTAGGTAGATAGGTAGGTAGGTAGGTATGTAGATAGAGAGATAGATAGATAGATAGATAGATAGATAGATAGATAGATAGATAGATAGGTAGGCAGGTAGGTAGGTATGTAGATAGGTAGGTAGGTAGATAGGTAGGTAGGTAGGTATGTCGATAGATAGGTAGATAGGTAGGTATGTAGATAGGTAGGTATGTAGATAAGATACCCAAAATAAACAAAGTAAACAAAGTGGCAGTGCAATATGAGTGGCGAAAAAGACTTCAGTGTACAATATGGTGTTTGTGATAGTGTGGAAAACTAAAAACCTTGAACTCTGCATTTATGAGCTTGAGAAAGCCAGAGTTCTCAGCTAAATCTGTATATCTTGTCAGAAACACTTCTAAAGATGCACCACTTTGTAGCCCTATCTCTCTCTCTGTCTCTCTCTCTGTCTCTCTCTCTCTCTCTCTTTCTCTCGCTCCTCCTTCCCTCCCCGTCTCCTGATCGAGCCTGTGCGCTGTGTTGTTGCAGATGCGTCAGGCCAGACGGTTCTCGAACCCTTGCATTCAGAGGTATACGTCCCGCAATGGTGAATGCAGCACGTACGTGTTGAGCTCAGACCCCCCCCCCAGCACCCCGCCCACACCCTCTGTTTGTTTGCATCCCGGCCTAGAACGTAACGGAGTAGTTTTGTTTTCCGCTTCCCTGCTTCTTAACCCCGCTAAACAAACAACACCAGAGCAAACAAACCAAAACCATCTCGCTCATCACTGCCATCGTCGATGCTTCATCCCACTACCCCATCTCCAGTCCCTCCACTCTTTTAATCTGACATGTTCATCCATCCATCCGTCCATCAGCTCGTCAATCCATCCGACCTCTCTGATCAGCTAGTTTCTCGTCAGGAATCTAAGGAACAACAGCAACACCTGAGTGGATAACCAGCCTACAGCTACATTTCCACCTGAATCTTTTATAGACACCAATGTTGGAATGTTAGCGCGTCATTCTACAGAAACGTCCACTATTTTATCTGTCCATAGGAGTCACTGGTGTTACCGACCATCATTGGTGTTACACATATGAAAGGTAACACCAGAGATATTTTTAATGAACAATGCATTTTACTAAATGGCTGCTGCAGAGCATCAAACCCCATGTTGTCAGTCATGGAATATCCACTAAAATATGGAATTTAATCCATTTGTATTCTATTTTTTCACAATTACCTAAGAATAAAGTTGGTCACACCAGTGACTTCAGCTAAAGGCTTCATATGAAATCATGAGCTAAACGAGTAAATCTCTGATAACTGGAAGACACAGTGGACTCACCATGTTCTTTTCTTCATAGATCCTCAGAAAACAGGTAAAAGGAAGTCAAGTGATGTCATCAGTGTGACTTTTATTTCAAAATAAGAGATTTTTTGCTATGCAGTAACACCAGTGACACGACTCCTTATTGTTTTATTTTAAAATATAAGTAAATTATAACCCCAGCATCTTTTTCAAGTGTAATATATCTGTAAACGCTAGAGACACAAAAATGGACGTTTCTGAAGAATGACCCTGGTATGTTTTGACAGTAGCAGTGAGGAAAATGAAGGAGCTGTTTCTTTAGAATCATACAAAAAAATCCCCACCAAGATTTAAACTGGGGAAAAATACTGAAAGCTTGACAGTAAAACCAACAAAAGCCTCAGCTTTTCAGGTAATGCATCTACTTCTGTTCATGCGTTCTGTTCATCTCCCCATAATTTCCCAGGAATTGTAATAGGCAGAGCTGGAATAAGATCCACTGGGCAGTAAAACTATAGTGCTCTATTCCCATGAATTTTGCTAAAAAGTCTTAAGATGGTTTTGCTGATGTTTTGCTGGTTCTAAACTGAACCAGAGTTAGTTCTTCAGCCTAAGCCTTGTTAAGATCGGTTGGGTATGCCAATGAGAGGGCATCAGCTTAATGTCAAAGATTGTTAATTTCCCAATGCACATCAAATAAGACGCCAAAACAAAAACAATCCCACATCGACATCAAATTCACTCAATGATAGTACTTTTTGGACATTTATGGCCTTTTGGAGGTTGGTGTAGTGTAGCGGGTAACACCTCTGTCTTCTATGCCATAGACTGGGGTTCAGTCCCCCCCCCCAGGCAAGCACTCTACACTATACCAAGTGAGTCCTTGGGCTAGACTCCCAACACTACCTTCGCCTACCTGTATAAGGCAGATTCAGCCATGGTACTAGGTCACGTGCCGTTAGTTTGCAGCAGGTTATAGACTCTGGCTTACATTCCCATGTAGCATTGTGCATTGTGAAAGGAGCTTAAGTGATGTTACTTTAGACCGGACTGGTTTAGAAGGTAATGCGAGGTAGAGGCTTGACATGAGTAGCTGCAGTATACACGCTGCAAGATCATCAGTCATTGTTTTCTCCTTCATTTCTCTCCTCAACCTTTTTTCCATCCATCTCAAACCAGCAGTCCACCTCGCACTGCATGTCCAATAGTTTGTCACTATGCAGCTGTCCTATGCCTAATGCCTGTACAATGTCTGTGATTTATTAAAAAGGTGATTGTCTATAAATTTCCCCTTTACACCAAATATAGTCAATCTACCAAGATCTGGTTTTTTTATGTTTTGCACTGGAGAGATGAGGCCAACATACTGTCCACCTGTAGGGATGATGAATTTTGATATTTGAGTGGTTGTAAAAGTTCATGAAAGGATATTCTGGTAACCAGAGTGAAGAGAATAACAACAAAAAATGACTTTTAGTCTTTTTAAGTGAAAAAAAAAAAATAATAGCACAAAGATTGTGGAGGAATGCATTTGAAAGTATTGTTTTTCAGAAATAGGCAGAGGAAATCAGTACGTTTTCATGTTGGCTAAGACGCTGCCTCTTCAGATGAGCTAGCGAGTTAAATGATGAGGGCTTGTCGTCGTCTTCTACACAAGGTCTTTTCTTCTCAGTAGACGATGTGCCAACATCAGTTTGTGAGAGAAGTATATTTTCGCTGTTTCCAGACCAGAGTAACATCAGCTAGAGTAGCTAGCCTAGTTAGCGACAAAGCTGCGCTACATCTGCATCCTTAACAATACATCCAACAAGTTAAAGCACTTGTATCATAGAAAAAACATATAATTTGTTACAAGTCTTGGCTGACTGACTACGTTTGGGGTAAAGGGGAAACTGTAAGTTGTTTTTTTTCGATAAACTGTTGCTTTTACATGTTCTTATTCCAGCATAGAAGCCATAGGTGATCATAATTTAGTAACACTTTCACTTCACTGAGCTGTCGACTAATATAGACATACATAAACACTTATTCCGCTGGACATCGTTTGTTGTAAAGATTGCATTTACTAACTTTGATGTCAAGTTGACATAATATCTATTTTATTTTTTATTTTACTTTTATTTATCAAAGGTAATCACACTGAGATTAAAAATACCTTTTACAAGTGAGCCCTGGCCAAGAAGGAGGCACACAACAAAGTCAACAAAGAAACAACACCACCACGACCAACAAAATCAAATCATACTGATATTAGGTTGTCATGACTCTTTCAGGGGTGAAATGACAGACTTGTATCTCAGTGTATGCCACAGTGACATGATACTGATTACATGCGGGACATAGCTCGCCATATCAGACTGGTTGAACAAGTAAGAATTACATCACTGTGATATACACGGAGCCAGTTGTTATATTGGCACAAACATGTCAGAAAAAAAATCGCCTCACAGTTGGTCACCTTGACATCAAAGTGGACAAAAGTAGTTCAAAAAAGGTGACTAAGGCTTATTACAGTAATATGTTCCCTATTTCTTTTACTCACACTGCTTTTTCCTTGAGCCCTATTGGCACTACCACCGCCATGTCTCAAAGGCTGCATTTGGCTGATGTCTCATTTCCTTATCTTTCTCTCTGTCATTTGTGGTGGTTATCTTTCAGAGAGTAAAATGTGACTAACAACCCTAAAAACGGCTTCTGCTATTCCATCCATACCTTGGCCATCAGTGCTGCAACTGCCACTGCTCTTCCTCCTCCTGCCAAGCTGAGCGAGATCACACCAACATCGCTGTAGCTTTGGCTGCACTTTAACACTGACGTGACTGCTGCCTGCACTCCCAAAGCTTCTGCTGCCACTTCCACTGAAGCTGCCACTCCTAAAAACCCTGCCACTTTCCCTGGCTGAAGCAGCACCATTTCACTGACTCAATCTATTTCTTTCCCCTTCCCTCTCCCTTTTGCCCCCTCTTCCTACGGTTTCCACAGGACCACAGGGAACCCACCTCCATCTTCTACCACAGCGGGCAAGGCCCCCCAGTCCCGCGTTCGCCAACCTACGGCGAATGCCACTCCCCCACGGGCCCTCAGCATGGCTTTGGATGGGCCGGAGCTCAGCGGTCTGCTCCCGGGTGGCCCGCGAACCCGCCTGTCGCTGCAGGAGGCCCCACGCCTCCTTTTCAAGTGAGCAGCGGCGACTCGTCGCCATGGGAACGGCGGAACAACGCGGGGGTTCCACAACCCGCCGTTCATGACGACGACAACGTGCAAATAAGCCAGGTGTAAAGATCTACAATGGTAAACTCATACTACACAGAAGGACCAAGGGTCTGGACAACAAGCAAACCCAAACGGACCTGATGGACTAGAGGGCAACTGATGCCAGCTGCAAATTTGCTCCGAGGACTATGGGATTTGGAGTTCTGTGAGAAGTCCTCCCTGTGTGAAAACTGGCTTGATTAACTGCCACTCGGAAATGGCATCAGAGAACTGTCCGGTTTGCAGAGATACTCTAATGAATGGACTTATGTCTTTTGCATTGAGCCCAGAATCATTACCAGTCCAGCCGGAACGGGTTTGTTTTGCAACTGACGAACTGATGGCTTATATATTTAGAATTAATTGGTTGCTTTTGTCTCTTGTCTGTCCCTTTTCTCCTTATTTCTCTTGGGGTACAATTAGGTCTTTGTCTCCTGCGGTGATGTGTAATTTCCTTCCTGAGGCAGTGAATTGAATGGAATTGAATTGAATGCAGTGTCACTTGGCTAATTTCATCCTGTTCTTTTATATGTTACGACAAAGGTCAGTTAAGTAAAATGGTTTTTCATTAAACCAAAGGTAAGATGCTGCCACTACTTGTAAGATAAATCCAGACTGTTTTTAGAGATGAATATATGTATGACCATATACAGTACTGGCAAATTCCACCCTTTATTTATTTAGTTTCCAGTCACAATGGCCATTAAGTACACGCTATTAATTTTTCCGGATATTTCAGAGGCTTTTAGATATAAGACAATCAATATAAGACACTTATTATTGGAAAAAAGGAGTTTCTAAAACTGGTTGAAATGTATAGAGACAGCTGGACTCCTAGCAACCACCTGGAAGACCTGCTAGGCCCTAAAACTGCCCCCATCAGATAAACAGCACTTAAAGCTGCTTCAGATCTGAAAAACATCCATATCCATCCTTCCACTGTGAGAAGACAACACGGCCATATGAGACACAAGGGTGCAACCAACTTCTAAGACTGAACTTGGGTCTTGTGAAAGATAATCCCTGCAGATTGAATGCATAAAAAGAAAGGTGAACACACTAAATACTGAATAATGTGATTTTTATATTTAGTTGTTGAGGCTTCTGTGTAATTCTCTGTTAAATATATTTCTGCTTTTTTCTTGAAGCTGAAAATTAATAACTTGTACTTATCGGCCTGGCGTTTAAATAAATAAAGGGGGCATTTGCACAGTACTGTATAATCAATGTTACTTTAAAATCTCTTTGTCATTATATGTCTTCAAACTCGGTGTGTCTCCAAATCTTGAAATAAGAGTTTATTTTATGACATTTTAAGAGTTTATTTTATTTTTTGATTTTGTTAAAACAAGAAGGCCGACGTGTTCATATTGGCGGACAGCCAACACCGTTAACGTCCGGTGGGGAGACACCTGACTTTTACCCCCACACAGTCATTCACATACACACTCTCCCAGTTTTGTACATGTGTTTGCCAAACTAATGCATTTTTCCCTGTTGTTTTCGGCAGAGCTTTGCATCAGGATCCTGATATTGGGCAGAATTTAAAGGAGCTGTCTGCCACTACAACCAGCTGAACATCATGCTTATTGTATCCAGCATCTTAGGAATCCCGTCGTGTATCGCTGTTGTTGGAAGAAAACCTCGTATCTCCATTTTTGACGTTTTTCAGTTTTTGACATAATTTGAAAATACCTGGTACCCTTTACATTGTGTGTAAATTTCAGGATGAATGGACTAAAAGAAATGACCCAGAATTAACTGGAAAAAAGTCTGGTTCCATTGACTTGCATTAAAAGTAAAGTATGTTTTTTCCTTCTCCTGTAAAGTTACCATTATGGAGATACAAGGTTTTCTTCCAACAACAGCGTTATGCAACTGGCACTGTTATGCAGTCAGCGGCCCATGAAATTAAAAGGCGAAGGTCTCGGTACACAGACTTCCATTCTGGTTACTCGGAGATATTTTCTTCGTTCTCTCTCCAAGCGTCACTGAGTGAGCATTCCCTGACTTCCCTGACTTGGATGCAGATTGTTCTTATTTCTTTCACTGTACTGAGAGCGAACAGACTGTAAAAAATGCACTACTGTTCACAAGTTTGGACTCACTGTTCACTCATTTAAATACTTTTTTGTTATTTTATATATGCCAGAGCTGATATGATGCAGATTTTAATATTATAAGCTAGATGTCAAATGTATGTTTGTTCAATATTATATTATATATTATATTGGAACAAAAAAACATTAAATTGTAAATAATGTGCTATAATTATCTGTTTATGACTATTTTTGTCAAGTTCTTTGCCTCAATAGTTGATCCCTATTGAAATATGAGGCATTCTGGATAATATATATAATCATTCTTAATGTTCTACAGCTTTCTCAGTCTTTCTTTTTGTTTCTTTTGTAGAACAGCTTTCCTGTCAAACAGAAATTCCCACCAAATGTTGTAAATTTCTGCATAATTCTGTGGTTAAGATGTAAACAGAGTCATTCAGAGTGGTTTGGTGTGAAATGATTGATTGTAGAGACTCAGATGTCTTTACAGTGGTGGTGAATGGAACCAGGGGTCACCTGGTTCCATTCACCACACAAATGTAGCCATTTTATTTATAGTGCAAAGCCAAAACCACCAATTTACCTACACACGTCTTCTGAGTGTTTATATGGAATGTTAATGATGGTAAAAAAATGGTCACTCTAAAAAAGGAATTTGTTTTTGAGGACAGTTTGCCCTACAATACTCTGCGTGTGCCGCTCTACCATGAATATATTTTTAAATATATATGATTTAGCCCAAACCCGTCTCAAAATTATTGTAAAACATTGTCTCAGGCATCAGGCAGTGTATTCATAACCATTTTCTGTAATAGCTTTCTTTGAGGGAGCTTTTTAGAGGTGGACGTCTGGTTCCTATCAGCACCACTGTGAACAATTCTGAACCTAAAATTGAGCATTTCGTATCAAATTACTTTAAATGACTTTGTTTACATCTTAACCACTTAATTGTGAAGAAAATTTTAAAAATCAGTACAAGTCACCTGTGGAGTTGCACTGGACTAATTTAATTGGTTGCAGCTTTTATATGATTTAAAAGCATCGATTCCAAACTTTTGAACAGTTGTGTGTCTTGAGGTCAATACTATGCCGAGCATGATGTTGACCTCTTTAAATGAAAACTACTCCCAAAAATATTAATATTGCTAATAATGAATGAACTCGTACAGTGCCACCATGTCAAACTGTAACTGTTACCCTGGTTATAACTGTGTTTTCTCAGCACTGCGCCTGTGTTGATGCCGTTGTTGTACAGCTGGGGACGGAATGACGTGACTGCGCTCCCTTCCCCACCACACTATGATCTTGTGCCGACTCGTCCACCCATAAAACAATTGCACAATTCTGACTTCACGGCCGTCTTAAGTGCCTGCATACCATCCATATGATGACAAGCTGTTTTCATCCTTGGGATTGTGTACCTGACATTCATAACTTGTGCTTTATTTATTATGTGGAATAGTTTAAGATTAAAGTTGACCAGTTACAAGTGCTTCATGAGCTGTTTCAATGTCTAAGGGTGTGAAAGGCAGGAATCTACATACTGTGTAAAAGTTAACTGTTGATTTAATGTCCAGGGAGAAATAGCCATTAAGTACAAGTCTTTTTGTTTTTCAGAAGATATTTCTTCGGAGATATAAGACAATCCATTGGCATACAGAATAGAAAAACAGGACTTTCCAAAAGTGTTCAAAAATGGTTTAAAGCTACAGAGAAAATTGGTCTTCTAGCAACCACCTGGAAGACCTGGTAGACCACCAAAACTGCCCCTTTAGATAAACAGCACTTATACACCATATACAGTACTTGCAAGTTCAGAGGCCACCCTTTATTTATTTAGTTTCCAGTCACAATGGCCAAATATTTCTAAAGCTATTACATGTAAGACAATCCATATAAGACACTTGTAAGTGAAAAAGGGAGTTTCTAAAACTGGAATTCAAAAAATTATTGAAATGTATAGAGACAGCTGGACTCCTAACAACCACCTGGAAGACCTGGTAGACACTAAAACTGCCCCCATCAGATAAATAGCACTTAAAGCTTTCATCTTTGAGAGAGAGGAGAAAATCAAGCTGCTTCAGATCTGAAAACAATCCACAACAAACACTCTTGACCTATGCAGTTGCTTTAGTGTTTGACTGTATGCTCTAAAACATGTATATATATCTAAAATATAACCTCTGTCCATGCTTCTCAAATATTCTGTACTAATTTAGACCCAAGCTTAGAGTCCAGGACTTTAGAGATGTTCCCAAACACAAATTCCTCATGAAGTGCGAGTACATGTGCATATACTGCCCTCTGCTGGACACTGGTCCTGTTCACCAGGACATGGTAAGTATTGAAGACTGGTGGGCATTTTATGTTTCAACTCTGGTTCTGCAATAAGCATCCCGGCTCTGAGGACACCAGCCTGTAGATGTACTGAACTTTGAGTCCAAAGTTTACTTCTGGAAGCTTTGAACTTTCACTCAGATGCCTCTCTGGATAGATTGTGGGTGAGAGGGACCATGGGGGTCTCCATCTATTATTCAAGTTGTGCTCTTGAATATGTCTTACTGCGCTGTGACTTGTGATGTGCCCTGTGTGAAGCTCTGTGTCAGGCCTGAAGAATCTTACTGATCCGAGTTCCACCGTAAAGTTCTTTCACACAGAAGACAAAAAGAAACGTCGACACTTCTTGGCACCCTTTGCCCATCAGGTCAACAGTCTTCTTTTCTCTGTCCTGTTTCATAATGAAGACATTTAGCTTTTTCAAAAAACTGTTCATGGGA